CCATGAAAATGAACAAAATCTGGCTACCAGTATTAAAAAACTCTAAAATTACAACAGCACAACAACAGAGAGGAAACAAACAAGGACATCTAATCACCTCTCAACAAAAGATTGCTCCAGGCACTTCCAGGCTATCAAATGCTAATCAAGGTGGTCAGTTGAAACATTCACACCTAGCTCCAGCAGACAAGAGTCCTTTGTCCCACCCTGGTCTTTCTACAGATATATAAACCCTTTTTCCTAGTTCCAACAGACTTCACTACCTCTGAGGATGCTTGCCATAGATACAGGCGAAACGTCAGGAGAGAATGCCTCTAGAACATGGCCATATAGCCCGGAAAACCTACAACAACCCATTGTTAATGCTACTTCATATCTTTAGTGTTTTTAAATTGTGTTAGATTTTAGCCTGTTCTTGTAAGCCGCTCCGAAACCCAGAGAGGAAACAAACAAGGACATCTAATCACCTCTCAACAAAAGATTGCTCCAGGCACTGCCAGGCCATCAAATGCTAATCAAGGCGGTCAGTTGAAACATTCACACCTAGCTCCAGCAGACAAGAGTCCTTTGTCCCACCCTGGTCATTCCACAGATATATAAACCCTTTTTCCTAGTTCCAACAGACCTCACTACCTCTGAGGATGCTTGCCATAGATACAGGCGAAACATCAGGAGAGAATGCCTCTAGAACATGACCATATAGCCCGGAAAAACCTACAACAACCCAGTGATTCCGGCCATGAAAGCCTTCAACATTATTATTATTATTATAATTATTATTAGTATTAAAAAACTCTAAAATTACAACAGCACAACAACAGAGAGGAAACAACAAGGACATCTAATCACCTCTCAACAAAAGATTGCCCAGGCACTGCCAGGCCATCAAATGCTAATCAAGGTGGTCAGTTGAAACATTCACACCTAGCTCCAGCAGACAAGAGTCCTTTGTCCCACCCTGGTCATTCAACAGATATATAAACCCTTTTTCCTAGTTCCAACAGACCTCACTACCTCTGAGGATGCTTGCCATAGATGCAGGCAAAATGTCAGAGAGAATGCCTCTAGACCAGTGATGGGCAACCTTTTGAGCTTGGTGTGTCAAAATTTGCCAAAAACCTGACCATAACTTGGGTGGGGTGTCAACTTGGAGAAAAAATAAACGTAATTTTGCAATATTTATAGTTTAAATAAGAAAAAATGTATATTCCATGCTGAGTTATGGAGTGAACAATGCTCAAATGTGCAGATGTTAAATTTGTAGAGCCTTTTACAAATTTAAGGATGGAATTAGATTGGCTCTTATAAGGTGTACTTCTCTGTATGCGGCCACATGTGGCCGCGTGTCATAAAAAATAGCCATGCGTGTCAGTGCTGACACGCGTGTCATAGGTTCACCATCACGGGTTTATGAACACACGTGCTCACTTCGTTCATCCGGAGAGGCCCTAATCGTGATTAACGACTCCAGCCCAGTTTATCTGTCCGAATGGATTCTCCCCTATCAACCATCAAGATTGTTAAGATCGTCTGTAGGGGCCCTGCTCTCGGTCCCACCAGCCTTGCAAGCGCGTCTGGTGGGGACGAGGGACAGGGCCTTCTCGGTGGTGGCCCCTCGGCTCTGGAACTCCCTCCCACTGGAGATTAGAACTGCCCCTTCTCTCCTGACTTTTAGAAAACAGGTGAAAACCTGGCTCTGGAAACTGGCATTTGATGAGTGAGTCAATAACTCGTGGCTATATGGATGGATGGTGATGAACAACGATTTTATTGTGACGACTTGGCCATTGTAATTATATGATTGTATTTTTGGTATTTTAATGTGTTAGTGTATTACGGAATGTGATGTTTTTAAACGATTGCTTGTGATATTATTGTTGGAAACCGGCCTGAGTCCCTCCACGGAGGTGAGAAGACCGGTATACAAAAGTTCTAAATAAATTTATTTATTTATTTATTTGCTTTATTTCTATACCGCGTTTCTCAACCTAATTAGGCGACTCAATGCGGTTTACACAATGTAAATTAACACAACAATAACAATTAAAACACATCATACACAATAACAAAATACACACATAACGCCTCAGTGAAATCAGATCCATTCTCATAATCCTTGTGCCATTCCTATGTTCCATTTACCGTCATCCTATGTTCGATTGCGCTGATTAGCCAAACGCTTGCTCAAAGAGCCAGGTTTTAACCTTCTTCCGAAACGCCAGCAGCGAAGGGGCCTGTCTGATGTCAATGGGTAGGGCATTCCATAGCCGAGGGGCCACCACCGAGAAGGCCCTGTCTCTCGTCCCCGCCAACCGTGCCTGTGACGCAGGCGGGACCGAGAGCAGGGCCTCCCCGGACGATCTTAATGTCCGCGTCGGTTCATAGGTGGAGATGCGTTCGGAGAGGTAAGTGGGGCCAGAACCGTTTAGGGCTTTATAGGCTAACGCCAGCACCTTGAATTGTGCCCGGTAGCAGATTGGCAGCCAGTGGAGCTGGCTCAACAGAGGAGTGGTATGCTCCCTGAGAGCTGCTCCCGTTAGCAACCTGGCTGCCGAGCGCTGGACCATCTGAAGCTTCCGGGCAGTCTTTAAGGGCAACCCCACGTAGAGCGCGTTGCAGTAATCTATACGGGATGTGACAAGAGCGTGGACTACCGTGGCCAAGTCCGACTTCCCAAGAGTAAATAAATGATTCTGCCCATGAAAGCCTTCAACAATACAATTCTTTCTTTTGTTTTCATGGTTTCGAAAATGGAGGCGTGCATGAGATTCAATGGCACACGAGACTCGAGTCCATGCAGTTATGATTGCCTATGCCCTGCCCCTCCGGTGCCGAAAGAGACACGAAATCACAGGGTCAGGGGGACAGGAGGGATCCCGAGCCAGTTCCCTGCTTTCCCTACCTTGGTCATGACTGTCTGGGAAGCCTCCTTCTCCAGGAGGGCGCAGGCGCAGTCCAGGTGCCCCTCGCGGGCAGTGATGTGCAGCGGCGTGTGCCCCGCGGTCGTGGACAGGTTGGGGTCGGCGCCACTCTCCAGGAGGAGCTTGACCATGCTGCAATGCCCGAGGCGTGCCGCACAGTGGAGAGGAGTCTGGTCGTCCTGCGGAGGAGAAGGCAAAACAAGGCTCTGCTATTACACTCCTTGCCACAAGCTCCATGGAAGCAGAAAACAATCTTGGAAAACAATCTTGGAAAACAATCTTGGAAAACAATCTTGGAAAACAATCTTGGAAAACAATCTTGGAAAACAATCTTGGAAA